CTGGCATCTGCTGCAGCTGCTCAGCGTAACAACAGGCTGCTGCTTTTGCATCACTTCAAAATTTCTGTCAATAGCCATTAGCCTTAAAATTAAAATCTTTCAATAAAATCAAATTACTAAAATAGATAGCTCTTAGGTATTTTGTATCCTGTAGTCCTCTGAGGACAACTGATCATGCTCCTATGCAGATCTATTAAACCAATTAACTCTTCTGCACCCCGCATGTCCATCTGTAACACAGGGAGAGGGACGCTTATGTAGTTAATGGCGTGCAAACCTAAGTTCTTCTAACATCTTCCTCTCTCTTCTCCGGGGGAAAGGAAAGAGGTTTTTGTGAGGAGTGCTCTCGGTAACGGAATTGCCATATCCTCTAGTGTATCTGACCTTTTAGATGAACAAAATAATCACCCAACAGATTCTTGTTTTCTTAAGTTTCTAGAAGCTGAAGGAAAGATTGCTGAACTTCTGTATTTCACCCACATGTATTTTTCCCACCTTCTCACATTAAAGGCAGACACCTTCCATGGATCCAACAGCTTTTCACTACCTATAATGCTGAGGGACTAATTCAGTTGTCTCTGTACTACCAAAAAAATTTTCAAGTAATTTTTTTGTCAGTGAACACTCACCTTTATAAACTCAAGGTCTCTGGTGGAGAATTAGCATTTTACACAGAACATCCGAAGCAATTCCATAGCACCAGGCTACATTTAGATGAAGTTAAATTATGACTGCAGTCACACAGATCTTTAAAACATTGATTTAAATAGGATGAGAAAATGAAATAACTGACTTCAAAAGGTGTGTCACTGCAATTTTGTTAGACATTTTAAAATTAACTTGATTGTAATATGCTGATGTTTAAAATGCCGTGGTGATTTCACAGCAAACATTATAGGCAAAAATCCCCCATTACTGTCAAGAAAGGCTCGCAAACATAAATACCCAACATATCATTGGGCATTTGTTTATTCAAAAAGAGCAAATAAAATAATAGGATTGCTGGTCCCAGTGGGAAACTCTTTCCAACTTATGTAAACAGACATTGACTACAACAGAGATAAAAGCTTTATGCTAACCTGACAGTAACGCAGAAAATTTAAATATTGTTTCAGCAGCAAGTATCTCCATGTCTGGTACACTCTTTTAGAACAAACTGTTGCTGACTCAGTGGAAGAACTCAAGTCCCCCAACATAAAAGACTGCATCTAACCACTGCTGCCTAATCTTATTTTGCTTGTTGGAGCTCTTTCATTTACTTCAAATTAATATATATTAGCCTACAATGATAAATTACAGTCAGTGGTTCATTAGGCAACTGGGATACGTTCAAGTTCTGAGCTAAATCAGGCAGAGCAGGGTTAGTGCGTTTCTGACTATAGCAAGGTGGTGTCTTTTTCCCTTGGAAAATGGAGAAAAATGGTGCATATTCATGGAGAGAAAAAACATCCCATACTTCGCTATTCTAAGGAATCGCATCAAAACCAAACCCATCCATGAAATGGATGTCTGTAAGAAGATCTAAATAACTTATTTGTCAAAGAACCTTCTGAGCTTCTACAAAAAGCAAAAAGGTGTTTGGGGGTGGAAGGAACCACAGCCTGAGACAGTGAAAGATTATGAAAGATGGACCTCTATTATTTTGCAAATCTACATGTAAAGAAAGATATATACTTACAGGTTACTTACAGATTTGTTAACAGTAATTTTTATCCCCTTCAGTCTGTAAATGTGTTTAACTCTTCAGCTTTCTCTTCTCTCAGAAGTATGAAGCATTGCTTGTACAGGCTATGTAAGTAACCGCATTTCATCTGTCATTCAGATACCGCCCTGACAAAAAATGGTACAAATGGAGAGAGAAACAAGTATTTAGATCTGGGAGGAGGGAGGGAAGCGCCACTTTAAATCTCTTCCATGGTAAGGCTTTTAGCAAAGTCAAAATAATTTTTCTTCTGATGTTACTTGTTACAATCTATGCTCTTCCTGGTTGGACCTGGAGACAGAGAATCTAAGCATTGATCCACATTTGAATGAGCTTGCCCACAGAATACGAAGGCCTCAAGTGAAACCAGCATACCAAAAAACCAGCTTGGTGACACACTAAGAGGGACAGCAGGTACCTAACAACATAGCCTACACAGCCTTCTCCATTCAAAAACATCACTGATTTGTATGACAATGAATTTTCTGGCATGATTATCTGGAGATATAAACAAACTGGAGATATATCTGGAGATATACACATGCAATCTTCCACATCCAATTTTCTGGATTCAAAGAAAATTTTCACTTTCTGTTGGTGTTACTACTCACAATTCATCTCAGAATATTTGGTTCCAAAAACAGAGGCGTGGTCTTGTGCAAATTTATTTTCAACTCAGCCTCTTTTAGTACTGACTTAATTTCTTCTGAAAGAATGAGACTACTCCCAAATTCAGAAGATGAACGAAGACAGAAAGATTCTTACAAAGGAATGTTCTCAGCATTTCCTCTTCCAAAAAACATTAGAAACATCAGATTTATGAGTGCAGTTGCATGTCAAAGCAGTGATACAGAAAAAAAAGAAAAATATTTATGTCTCCTTACCATTACAAATGACAATAAAAAAATATCACTCAACTCTAACACAGAACTCTGTATTCCAGAGATCTCAAAATGTCTTAGAAATAAGATAGTTAGCATCTTAGAAAACTGGTAACAGGTCACAAAGAAAGGGTGTAACTTGCCAAGGTCAACTGCAGAACAGAAAAAAAGAATAAACTTCAAATAGAGCAGGACGAGCTCTAGCCCAAAGTTGCATTGGCACATCAGAATATAGGATCACCTCCAAAAAATAGGTTAAACCCCATCTGAAATTCATCAGTAAAATCTTGGGTTTTCCAAACTGGAAATACAATCATATGAGAAATATTAGTATTAACTTTGTCTAGTGAGAGGATGAAAAATCTACTTCTGACACCTCTGTCTACAATCATTAACTAACAACCTGAATTTTAAATAAACCACCAGTTGCCTAAGGAGGAAGTATGTTACAAATTGTCGTTTACCTTTCAGGATAGGCACAGCAGGAAGCTGAAACTGTAATTCTGAAATCTAATAACCGATTTTTTGTTTTTTTAAACTCATCTGGCTTTAATTTATATTTTATTTCCTAGTGGTCTTCACTTTATTTTTACAAGAACAGTGTAACGTGAGCTGCAACTCTAGTTAGGAGGGTCTGTTTCCTTCTTGCTTTGCATTTCTTGCGTGCTCTATATGATCATCTCTGAAACGTCCAATAATAAAGAGATGGGTCAATAGAAACAAATTCAGAGGAAATGGGGTAATAAATTCTGAACAAACTAGAAGCAAACATGACCTATGGAAACAAAGTATCAGTGAAGTACTTGCAGTCATGAGTGAAATTGATTCCGTGAACAGGGTTTGGGTGTTCTTTTTCTTCTAACCAGAACAGCAGTGACCATGAAACATTAACCAGACTCTCAGTGAACTATTTACCACTTCCTTAGAGGGTGCAGGCTCTTTTACCACAAGGTAAAAGACAAAATATTAATATATCTATGACTTACAACCTACGAAGCCATAATGGCTAATTTATACAGTGAATTCATCTTTGAGCAAAGCAAAACCAAGTCATCAAGCTGAAATATAACCTCCTAAGCTGCTGAGATTCTTAAAAGCAAATATCTGTGTTTTGAATAACTCTCATCTGCCTCATTGTAGCTAGTCATTGTGTAAAAGTACATAATGATCCTGATTAAACTTGTCTTCTGGGAAGTCATCATAAATCCTTCCTACTCTGCACTTTGTGTCTCTCTGATAACATTTACAGGTATTGACACCCCTGACTGAGCAAACGACTTGAGATAACATCCTGTTTTGTGCACTTACGGAATTCACAAAATCCTTATTCTCAGAAGCCATGTTTAAACACAGGCAGTCACCCACAGCCACTTCTGTATTTGTGTTTGTTCTTTCCTTTTCTTCACTTTCTTTTAGTTAATTTACTTTCTAAATAGAAACATCCATTCCAGTTCAAGGTCAAGGTGCAAAGATATCTTTTATTTTCTCTCTGCTACCGATAAGTGGAAGCAACTGTGACCTTTCTGAAGAAAATCAACCAAAAAAACAAATAAATGAATCGGTGCATAACACTACAGTCAAGGAAGAACCAAACAGGCAGCAGCAAGTATACTGATGCTGTAGCAAGTAAGAGGGTTTGTCTTCTGCTGGGTATTAAAATAGCATGGTATAACAAAAGTGCAGTTAACGCTTTCAGGTGTTAGGTTCAACAACTTTCCAAGACCACAAAGCACATTAATCTTATGAACATGGAGGGATTAGCTGAATTCAAACACAAAAAAAATAGCAAGTGGCAAGAAAGTTACGGAGCATAAAGCAATAAAAAGCAGAAACAATATTGGCACCAGATCCCCTCACCTCCTCTTCGCTCCCCTCTCCTTCAGTGAGCTGAAACAGCCTCCACAGAAGTACCAGATCTGTGGCCTGGACAAACATCATCCCAGAAACACGGTTAGACCCAAAAAGAAAGTGTGCTGCCAAGTTAGCATCAGAGCTTGTGTTGACAGCCGTGAGGTCTGCAGGAATTAATTCCTCCAGATGAACAGGCAAGCCTCTCTTCTGCAGTGAGCAGGCAGCCGTCTTCATCCCATAGGCAGATACTCCATGAAGCATCACTGGAGCAACTCTAGACATTAACATTTGGTTATTCCCCAAAATTATTTACACCTCAGTATGCCTCACGAGCTGTTTTCTAAAGAGATGGCAGAATTAACAGGGTAAATACCTGATACTGAATGGGGAGTTTAAGAAAAAAGGATAGTTTCGAGACAACAACAGCAAAAAAAAAAAGACACACTAGAGGTAAGCTAGGAGCAGATAGGATCAGAGAAGATTTCCAAACAAAATACAGAAAAAAACAGATAAGGTTGGAACACCAGACCTGTATTAGGTTTACTTTAGAAACCATAAAGCAACCTTTATTCATGTTGCTTCTTCACAAACACAGAAACAACACTAACTTCTGCAGTTTTCTGAATATATTCACTGAACTAAACACTAATAAACACTAAAGAAGTGGTACCTGGAGCTTCTGCACTGTAACATAACCACGCATGGAAGAAGGCTGCCAAATGCTTCTTGATTGCCCGTGCACAGATTGCGCTTTGGCTCTCAAGGACAACAGACCACAAGAGCAAAGAATAGCATTTATCACAAAAGTTCAAGTATTCTTTGTGTACCCAGGTAAAATCAGTAGTCTGTATGCATCCAGACTTTAAATCCATGTCCTAGAAACATCCCACAGATGCAAAAATATCAGATACCTGCACTGCCTAACACCGCACTGTCATGGAGAGGGAAGATAATTTTAGGATCAATGAATAGTAAAACTTGTAACAAAATATTTATTTGGTGAATTAAATACAGCGTACACAGAAAACAAGAAGGATTTCACCGTAAGAGTGGAAAACAGTTGGTTTGCAGAACAACAGCTCAATGCATTTGCTGTAACCAAACAGACCTAGCCTATGTTACCAGAAAATTTTAAACAGTGATCATATGATCATAGACTGCTTTGAGTTGGAAGGGACCTTTAGAGGTCATCTAGCTCAACCCCCTGCAGTGAGCAGGGCCATCTTCAACTACATCAGGTTGCTTAGAACCCCATCCAACCTGACCTTGAATGTTTCCAGCAACGGGGCATCTACCACCCCTCTGGGCAACCTGTGCCAGTGTTTCACCACCCTCACAGTAAAGAATTTCTTCCTCATATCCAGTCTAAATCTACACACTTTTAGTTCAAAACCATTACCCCTTGTCCTATTGCAACAGGTCTTGCTAAAAAGTCTGTCCCCATCTTGCTTATAAGCCCCCTTTAGGTACCGGAAGGCCACTCTAAGGTCTCCCCACAGCCTTCTCTTCCCCAGGCTGAACAGCCCCAGCTCTCCCAGCCTTTCCTCCCAGCAGAGGGGTTCCAGTCCTTGGATCATTGCTGGGGCCTCCTCTGGTGCCACTCCAACAGCTCCAGGTCTGACCTGCGCTGAGGGCTCCAGAGCTGGACGCAGGACTCCCGGGGGGCTCCCAGCAGAGCAGGGCAGAGGGGCAGAATCCCCTCCCTCACCCTGCTGCCCACGCTGCTGGGGATGCGGCCCAGGGGACGGTTGGCCTGCTGGGCTG